CCCTTTATCAGATGCTCTCCTGTGATCCCAGCTACAAGGAGGCTGAGCCAGGAAGATCTAAAGTTCACCCTTGCTGCCTGGACTACATAAGGACAAGCCTTTCCACCTTAGCAGCCAGAGAATCAGAGGCAGGGGCGGGGTCACGACCTTTAGCAAGTTTTTCTATCTTTACCTGTGTATCAAAGTTCCCATAAGTCTCCGGCGACAGGGAATCAGGAGTGTCTTTTGTCATGAGCTGTGGAAGGGGGCATTGTGATGAGCTAGGCTCTCTGATAGAACCTTCAAGGCTTCTGAGGATCAGCCAAGGAACCTCTCTCCTGCCCCTCCCCAAGGCTAGTTTAGCCTGATAAGTCCTGCCAAGAGGCTCCCTCCAATGCAGAAAAAGGCCAACACTTCTGAGGCTACAGGGTTCTGACTTACAGCCAACATACAGAGATGTGGAACTTCTGAGTTCTAGGCAGAGGACAGACCTTACCAGGCAGGGCAGGAGCTGTGCCCAGTTGCCCAATGTCCCCTCCCCTGACACTTCTGGATTGCCCCAAGGGATGCTCTCACCTACCTCCTGGATGGCTTCCATCACTACATGTTGAACAGATTCCTCCAGTGTCATAATTCTCTGGATATATTCTGGGGATGAAGGTGGAGGCGAGAGGCTGAGACCAGACACAGGTTGGCGAGGAAGCACAGGTCCCCAGGTGTCCTCTGGGAGCTCCGACTCCCCCCTCTAGCCCTCCTCATACCCTGTTTTTTCTCACAACTGATAGCACAGCCCAGTACCAACTGAAGCAGTTTGCCGAGCTCTGCAGGATCTGAGAGTTCACCAATGAGGCTGACATCTGGAAGGTGCTGTTCGGATACAGGATGCCCCAGGACCTGAGAACACACAGAGGAGACGTCAGGACACATTGAACTGACTCCTAACCCAGTCCCAAACCCCTTTGCAGTACTCACATCCTTTGAGTATTCCATCAAGCTCTGTAAGATCTTCTCCAGTTTCCTGACCTGTTGAGGCCAAGGAGTTACCTACAAATGGAGGTCTAGAGCAGTGCCCCCAAATCTGTCCTCACTCGCCCCCCCCTTCAATTTCCTTTCCCTGCTTATCCCCTAGTTGTTTGGTCCTGTTCTAAATATCCTTCTCCTCTAGGGCTGACCTGCATTGCCTGTCCTCGGTGTTTACCTCACCATCTTTATTCACAAGTCCCAGAATCCAGTGGTTTCTCACTACCTGGCACTACTAATGTCATATCTCACTTGGATGCCTGTACCCATTGCTTCTCATCTCCCACCTTTGGGGGAGTTGCGGGGGGTGGGGGGGGTTTCTGGTGATCAAACCCAGGGCCTTAGGTATGGCAGACATGGGCTTTCCCACGAGGCCACTCCCCTACCCTCATAGCATATCCTAAGCAGGGCTCCCCCACTGAGCCATGCTTCCTGCCCCTCACTCCTGGACTCCAGGCGAGCTGCTGCCCACAGAACTGCATTCCCAGCCCTTCATCTCCTGCTCTTGTTGCTTGCACCCCATTCCTCCCCAAGAAACTAGGGGGAGCTTCTAAATGGCTGAGCCAGGTTGTGTCTTTCCATAGTACTTAAAAATAGAACAGAAAGGCATGGTGGCCTCTGCCTTTAATCCCAGCACTTGGGAAGCAGAGGCAGGCAGATTTCTGAATCTGAGGCCAACCTGGTCTACAGAACAAGTTCCTGACAACCAGGGCTACACAGAGAAACCCTGTCACAAAAAGCCAGAGAGAGAGAATCCATTCTGCCTCCCTGGCTTGCTAGGCCCTAGGTGATCTCCGTCCTCCGGTCTTGATCCATTCCTTTCTTCTGCTCATTCACTCCTCAGCTCATTCCCACCTGAGGATCTGCAGTCACTGCTCCCCAGGCATGGAAAACCATTTCTCCAGGTCTCACGAGGAGATAAGCCCATCTCAAGAAAGCACCTACCCACGTCATATAGCCTTTCTTTGTTTGTTTTTGTTTTTGGAGTTTCCCTCTGTGTATCTCTGGCTGTCCTGGAATTTACTCTGTAGACCAGGCTGGACTCCAACTCAGAATCCCCCTGCCTCTGCCTCCTGAATGCTGGGATCAAAGGCTTGTGCTGCAACACCCCACTGTTGTTGTTTTTTAAGATTTATTTTATTTTTTGTTTATTTGTTTTTGGTTTTTCGAGACAGGGTTTCTCCGTGTAGTTTTGGTGCCTGTCCTGGATCTCACTTTGTAGACCAGGCTGGCCTTGAACTCTGCCTCCCGAGTGCTGAGTGCTGGGATTAAAGGCATGTGCTACTAACACCCGGCTTATTTTATTTTTTAAATTAGTGTGTGTGTGTGTGTGTGTGTGTGTGTGTGTGTGTGTGTGTGTG